CCCTCCTCCTCCCTCCTTCCTCCTCTCCTCTCTGCTCCTCCCTCCCTCCTCCTCCTCCTCCTCTCCTCCCTCCTCTCCCCTCCTCCTCCTCCTCCTCCTCCTCCTCCTCCCCTCCTCCTCCTCCTCCTCCTCCTCCTCCTCCTCCCCCCAGGGGGCCCTCCAACACGGTCTTCGGGCATTGCGTGGGGGCTGCCCGCGAGCTTGGCCGGCAAAAGGTGCAGGCCTCCCACCTTCGCGCAGCCGCGCTCCACAGGTGCGCGACGCGCGGGCTGCGCCCCTGCAGGCCGGCCCTCCCTGCCCAGGCGCGCGTTTGACGCGACGATCGCCGCGCCCCTCGGGGCGACTCCGAATGAAGGGCCCCTGGGACACACAAATAAATACACGCCAACGCAAGGATTCTCCATATTTTCCCATATATTCTGGGTTTTTGTCCCCCCCCCCACTTCCCATATTTCCTTATATTTTCCTAGGCGTGGACGATTAATTGTGTCTGTGTGTGTTTTTCCCCTCCTGACCGAAGAGCTCCAGGGGGAGAGCTCGCGCGGCCTGGGCGACGACTCGGCGTGCCGCTGGCTGGGGCAAGATCCGGAGATCTCCGACGAGGGACCCGAGAGGTTCCACGACACGCCTCTTGCCCGATGTCGGCTCTCGGGGGCTGTTGTCGGACCACCACCACCAGTGGGTCTGGAAGGAAGAGCTGCTCCAGGGAGGCGGCTGGGCCTCAGGGGCCGCGGGTGGAAGCAACACATGCCCGCGGATGTCAGGGAGTCCCTGTGGCCCTTTTCGACGCTCATGGACGCCTGCGTTCGGTGCTGGACCCTCGCAAAGGTCAGGGGGGCTCCTTCCCCCGACCTCGGATCCGCCGTGCTTTCTGGGTGGTACGGCAAGTAGAGCGGAAAGCTTCGCCCTACTGTTCAATCTCCTTCGATGGCGATGTCCGCCCTGATTTTCGGCTGCTGCTTCCGCCATACCGCTGCGGACAGATCCGCTCCTGCCTCTCGGAGGCGGCACTTTCTGCTCCTGCCTCTCTGAGGCGGCAATCTCTGGCCTGTGTCTCTACGTGGGGTGCCTGTCCGACAGAACCGCAGGCTGGAACCTCCACCGAAGCACGGCGCATCCGACAGCGGAGTTTCTCCGAAGGGCTTAGGCGACCCGTCCTCCTCCTCCTCCTCCTCCTCCTCCTCCTCCTCCTCCTCCTCCTCCTCCTCCTCCTCCTCCTCCTCCTCCTTGTTTTTGAGCTCCACGTGCCCCAAAGACCTCACTGAGAGGAACAGGCGCCCGCTGCTACGGGGACAAGCAGGGGGCCAAAGAAGAGCAGCGCCAACGGTCCAGGGCCATGCCCCCGTGGCGAGCTCAAAGCGCGAACAGGGAACGCAAGGAGACCGTGCTCCTCCTCCTCCTCCTCCTCCTCCTCCTCCTCCTCCTCCTCCTCCTCCTCGATCCCTGGGCGCCCCTTTGCCCTGGAACCCAGGGCAGGGTCTATGGGGCTCGTTTGCCGCTGGCGGGCCTGGATCTCGGGATCGGCCCGCGGGCCCAGCATCGCCGCGAGGCCCCCAGAGGCTGCAGGCGAGCCTCCGGCTCAAGGGGGCATCCCGTCTGCTCGCAGCGGCCTGGGCCAACACCTGCGCTGCGTGGCGAGGCAGGGGAGAGAGCAGAGGCAAAGGAGAAGGGCACAAACAACACGACTTCCACATGTGAACCCTACCCTTGCCCCCATGTGAACCCTACCCGTACCCCTGCGTTAGGGGGCCACATGCGAACCCTACCCCTACCCCCCCCCCCCCCGATTTCTGAGGGGGAGGGTGGGGTTCACTTCTCTCGGAAGCTCCCGAACGAAGTGTACCCCACCCTCCCCCTCAGAAATCGAGGGGGGGGATAGGGGTAGGGTTCACATGTGGCCCCCCCTGCGTGGCAAGGCGGGGGAGAGAGCAGAGGCAAAGGAAAAGGGCATAAAGCAACACGACTTCCGACGGTCCGCGCGGCCTTCCTGGATCTGCGCTGGGGCCCTGGCGGCGCCTCCGGCGCCGCCCCTGGCGCGCGCCGCACGCCGGGGAGAGGAGGTCCAGCGCAGGCCCAAGAACTCCGCGCGGGACGCCGGAGGCTTCTGCTTATCAATGTTGCCTCTTGGGGAAAAACAGGATGGGCACTCCTCTGATGCGAGACCTGCGTGCTAGCTGCCCGCTGGGAGGGGCAATGCAAGACCCCGAGCGTAAAGATTACACGGCTGCAGGCCAGTGCGGGAGCCACGCCACTTGGGGAGGAGGAGAAGGAGGAGGAGGAGGAGGAGGAGGAGGAGGAGAAGGAGGAGGAGGAGGAGGAGGAGGAGGAGGAGGAGGAGGAGGGAGGAGGAGGAGGAGGAGGGGGGGAGGAGGAGGAGGAGGAGAGAGAGGAGGGAAGGAGGCGGAGGAGGAAGAGGAGGAGGAGGAGGAGGAGGAGGAGGAGGAGGAGGAGGAGGAGGAGGAGGACGACAATGGGTAAGCAAACAAGGATTCCACGAACCTAAGATGACGATAGAGGACGAGCTCCCGAATCATGTCGGCTCAATTCAGTCAGGGTGCCGTTTCCCAAGCTCGGCTGGGTCGATTAGCAAAAGAAGTGCCTGCCCTTTTGAAGGGCATCATCCGTGGAGGTGCCAAACGCCAAGTCGCGGCCAGAGTGGAACCAACTATTGCCCGTACTCTGGCGAACCACGTCGATCCAAACCACCGGAACGATCTTAAAGGCATGACAAGCGGTAGGAACACTTTAGCAAGAATGTACTGTCAGCGAGCGCGGTGACTCTGCACCGTCTTCGAGGGCGAGACAGCCCGCCCAACTTCTTGCCCAAGCCCAGGAAGGACGCGGCACCGACTCCATGCCAAGGGCTCCGCCCGACGGATTCTCCGTCGCGCGGCCCGGTACGGTGGCAGAGGTCCTCGCCATCGCTCGGACGTTTATTCCCTGTGCATTCCCCGGTTTCGTGCGTGCATTTCTTCGCAAGGGGAACAAAAACATGTTCCTCGGCGGTCCTCGCCGACGGCAGCGTCACACGTCCGAGCGATGCCGAGGGTCCTGCGAGCCGCGGAGCAGGCGGAGAGCATGAAGCTGCACCCCGCACGGGCGCGGGGAACCCGACCCCGGGGGGGTTGGGCACGAGTGGCGGGCGAGGCCGCGTGAGCGACGGAAAGAGAAGAGCCATGCGCGAGAGGGCATAGCAACCCGACGCCGCGGCTCCCGCGGGCCGCTCTCGGGGAGTCGGAGGGCGGCGGACATGGACGTGTTCGGGCCCCTGGGGGGGGATGCCCAACATATCCATGTCGACAACCCGCCGAAGTCCCCGAAGGCCCACCCCCCTACCTAGGCGGTGGTCGTGGACAAATCCCTGGCTCGGACGAACTGCGTAACGAGTTCGGGACATCCTGAATCCAAAAGCCTTGGCATCCCTAAGGAGGAGGAGGAGGAGGAGGAGGAGGAGGAGGAGGAGGAGGAGGAGGAGGAGGGGGAAGGAGGAGGAGGGGGAAGGAGGAGGAGGAGGAGGAGGAGGAGGAGAAGGAAGAAGATGAGGAGGAGGAGGAGGAGCTCCCCCTTCCTGGAGGCAGCTTGCGAAGGATTCGCAGAGGCCCCGCGGGACCAGGTGTATGAGAGAGACGGAGAAAAAACCAGAGAGAGCGAGAGAGAGGCCGGGGGCGGGGAGCGCTCGCTCGGGAGGGCAGCACCAGGTCGGGACGAGGACGCTGCGCTTTGGGACGAGGTGGGAAAGGACGGTAAACCTTTGAACGACGGGAGAGAACAGGATCTTCCTCACCCCCATGCCTTTTGTTCTCTCACTCTTCTGGCAGACTGGAGTTGGGTTAGAGAGAGGCTGCGCCTGCCGGGATGACCTTCGCGGGGCGGGGATGTCGATGTCGCAGGGATGCGGAAGTCTCGTCGGTCAGGGGGCGAAGCATTAGCATCGGGCCCGTTCCAGTTTGTTGCGCGCGCGGCGGACAAGTCCTGCCCCCCCTCGTCGCATCGCCGGCCGGGGCGAAGCCTGTCGCTAAGCCCCTTTCGGGGGATGCCAGCCCATCGGTTTTGAATCCCCCTCGCAACGCCGGCCGAGGGGGCATGGGTGCACAGATGCACGCGCGCGGGCCGGTATCCCATGGCACGTGATACTTACGGTCCTGGGGCATCGTGAACCGCGGCGCCATTAACTGACCACGCAGCGGCATGGTCTGTTGCTGGGCTGGTTGCCTGCTGGGGCCTTGCAGTATGCAGCGCGACGCATTTCGCTGCGGCCCTGTTTGGAACGGCAGCTTGAAGGATGCCTCCCCATCACAAATAAAATGCGGGTGTTCCCCGTGTTCCTCCATAGGTGCACGCGGGGGGAAGCGTCCCTTCGCAAGTTCCGCACGAGGCCTGTGCTTATCGGGACTTGTTTCCTCATCGCTGCCAAAGTCCCGCATGGGGCTGGCAGTGGATTCCAATGGTCCACCCCTATATCCACACACGCGCATACACACGCACACACGCACACACACACACACACACACACACACACACACACACACACACACACACACACACACACACACACACACACACACACACACACACACACACTTAGTGTTCACACTCCGTCTCTCCATTCCTTCGCCCCCTGTCCCTGCATCTTCCCCTGGCCATTGCATTACCTCCGCCTTGTCTCCGCATTGGCCTCGTGCGCGATCCTATCTAGACCCTGCGAAGATCCTCCTGGATCGTTCGGGGGCCCCCGCGCCCCCTTCGCCACGAGAGTTCAGTCGGGCATGTCCCTCCACACGAGGAGTGTTCAAGGATAGTCCGAAGATAGCTGGGGGACGAGTTTTTTATAACAATAAAAACCAAAACAAAAATGGTGGCAACAATGTCTGGATATTGTTTGGCATGTCTTGTTCTATATAGGTATGTGTCTATATGTATATAGGTATATAGATATAAAAATATATCCTTCAAAATCCGCCGGTAGGGGGACATGCCCGACCTAGCACGAGAGGAGGCCTGGGGCTCGGCCGGCGACGGCCCTCCGCAGACCGCGCGCGCGGCGTGGTCTGGTCTGTGCCCCCCCCGAGGCCGCCGCGGAGCGGCGGGCGCCGCGCGCAGGCCGGATGGCGAGACTCCTCTCGCGAGTGAGGGCGGGGGGGGGGGAGGAAGTGTCAAGTCGGGCGTGTCTCTCCACAGGAGTAATCTTCAAAAAGCAGACCAAAACAAGTAGTCTGGGGAGGATTCTTTGCAGATGTTTTTTTTTTTTGTTGTTGCTACTTTCGAGCATGTTTGGGCGAGGAGGGGAGGAAGTGTCTGGATCTCAGGGCCTCTCACTCCCCCCCGGGCGCGCCGCCGATCCCAGCAGACCCAGGGGGAACGGCGGCTCCGAGGCGACGCCGCGCCCCCCGGGGCAGCGCCGGCGCACCGAGGTGCCGCGCAGCCAGGCCGAAGGTCCGAGGGCGCCCTGGCCTCCCTGAGATCCTGGCGTCGCAAATTATGCGCAGCCAGTGCTTTTACTCGAGGAGGAGGAGGAAGAGGAGGAGGAGGAGGAGGAGGAGGAGGAGGAGGAGGAGGAGGAGGAGGAGGAGGAGGAGGAGGAGGAGGAGGGAGGAGGAGGAGGAGGAGGAGGACGAGGACGAGGAGGAGGAGGAGGAGAAGGAGGACGAGGAAGATTTGTTCACCTGCACCTTTCCCAAGCCAGCAGTGCAAGCCAGGGCTGAAATAACGGAGCCTTGGCGGTGGCTGACGTTGGCAGCGACCCCAGGACCCCGAACAAACAAAACTACGCCGAGCGGACGGCCAGCTCGGCGCTCACGCGGGCAGCTTTCGCGCGAGGAGCCTCCTCCTCCTCGCAGCTAGCCTCGCTGTGCCTCCCCTCCCTCGCCTTGGGGGGAGGGGTGGCGAAAACGGAGGGAGATGATCCAGCAGCGCCCATCTTGGGCACAACGCACGACGTAACGACGACGGGGACGTGCTGCTGGGTCCTCTCAGGAGGAGGAGGAGGAGGAAGAGGAGGAGGAGGAGGAAGAGGAGGAGGAGGACGAGGAGGAGGAGGAGGAGGAGGAGGAGGAGGAGGAGGAGGAGGAGGAGGAGGAGGAGGAGGAGGATGAGGAGGACGAGGAGGAGTAGGAGCAGGAGGGGGAGGAGGAGGAGAAGGAGGAGGAGGAGGGAGGAGGAGGAGGAGGAGGAGGAGGAGGGGAGGGGGAGGAGGAGGAGGAGGAGAAGGAGGAGGAGGAGGAGGAGGCGGAGGCGGAGGCGGCGGCGGAGGCGGCGGAGGCGGCGGGCCCCGGGACCACAGAGCGAGCCGGCCCGAAAAATGAGGCGGAAAGATGGGGTCCGGAGTCGGGGGCTGCGGTGGTGGTCTTTCGCGATGTTGCATTTCTTTTTTGCTGCGGCGGCGGATCTCAGGGTTCCTCTGTGGACAGGTCTGGCCCCCGGGGGGCTGGTCTCGAGCCCCTGGGCTAGCACCCCAGGCAAGATCGAGTGCTTTTTGGTCTTATGGGGGATCTTCACAACAAAAAACATGGAAGGAGGTGTTTGGCCATTATCGGCCTCGGGAGGCCCTCGCCGCCCTCGCCAGGCCTCGGGAGCGTCGAAAACTGACTCGGGATGACAAACCGGTGCGAGGGAACTGGTCGAGGCTTCCAGGGGCCGCGCGCGCATAGAAAACATCAGGACGCCGCACGCCTGTGGATCCAGGGCGAAAAGCTGGCCCCGTGGAGGCGGCTGGGGCCTCCACGGGGGAAAACCAAGTCGGCGAATGTCAGGGCACCCCTCGCCCTTTTGAACCTTCATGGGCGCAGGCGCCCAGCGATGGCTCCCCACGAGGGCCAGCCCCGACTTCGGATCCGCCGTGCTGCGGGCGGCTTGCAGGCAGGGCGGACACATGTCGATCTCCGCCCCACTTCGCCGCCGCTGCTCCTGCCATGCGCTTGCGATCGGGAGCGGCCAAGAGGGGGGTGTCCAAGAGGGGGGGTGCAAATCATGGCCGGCGGCATGTGCGCGGCCCAGCGGGGGGGCCAGGGACGTAATGAAATAAGAAGAGGCGCCATGAAATCTCGGGAAATATCATAGCCCACGCCATGATATCCCCCCCCCCCTAGTCATCACCCCCCTCTTTTCCGCCCCCGGTGCGAATGCCCGCCCTGCCGCTTCTGAGCCGGGATCTTCCGCCCCACCTGCTCGCACCGCTTGGGAGGCCTTTTCCGGCGCAGGCTTGAGCGTCGGACCGTCCACCAAGGTGGGGCGGATCCGAAGTCGGGGGGCCCTGGGAGCCGACGTGAGGAAAAAATATGCAACACCGGGAAACTTAGGGGGCCACATGCGAACCCTACGTACCCCTTCCCCCCACGATTTCTGAGGGGGAGGGTGGGGTTCACTTCGCCGAGCGAAGGGAACCCCACGCTCCCCCTCAGAAGTCGTGGGGGGTAGGGGTAGGGTTCGCATGTGGTGCCCTAGAAATCACGCCCGGAGCCCCAGACCGCAGCTTCCTGGGCCATGCTTCGAGCCGGATCGCTCCGTGAGGGTCCCGGAGCCCGAAATGAAGCGAAAACGCGGGCTGTGAAGAAATCGCAGCGCCAGGACCTCAGGGATCCGGTCATCATGCGACTACCAGAAGGTCGCGCATGTCCTCCTACAGGTGGATTTGGAAGAAGAGCGAAACATAACAGCACAACAGGCGCAAACATACTCAGGAATAGTCGAAAAATCATCCCATAACTATTTTTTAAAACTATCTTTGAAGATTCCTCCCCAGACATGCGACGTCCTGATTTTTTCCTTATACGGGGTCCCTGGAAGTCCCGACGCTTTCCCCAGGACCGGTTTTGCATCCCGAGTCGTTTCTTGACGGCCCTGGCGAGGGCCTCCCGAGGCCGAAAATAGTGAAAATCTCCCGTCCTGATTTCTTCACAACGCGATCATGTCCGGGTCTTCACCCCGAGCCGCCTTTGAGGGTCCCGGAACCCGTGGAGGAGGCCCCAGTCGGAGGGGGGGCATTGATGCATAACCTGGGGGATCGATCTTTGGGGACCCCGGCAGGCGGTGGATATGGAGACAGTCGGGTCCCCTGGGCCCAAAGTATCCATACAACCCAGACCCCCGACGTCATGAATGTTTCATTACGTCGACCCCCAGAGGTCTCGACCCCTTCCCCAGGACCAGTTTCTCATCCTGAGCCGTTTTTTGACGGCCCCGAGGCCTGGTGAGGGCCCCGGGAGACCGCCCGTCATGATTCTTTCATTGCCCGAGGGGGTCTGGGAATGGAGACCGATGCAAAAAAACACCCTGCTTGCCTCTAGGGGCGCAACCCGAAGAAAGACTGCCAACGACGACGAGGACGACGAGGACGTCGACGACGACGACGACGACGACGACGACGACGACGACGACGACAGCGGCGGCAAGGACGACGGCGAGGCCCCCGCGCAGGCGCCGACCGGAGACGCGCGCAGGGGCGCCTCATGTCCACGGCCGGGCTCGGCCACGCCCGGGCTCCCCAGGCCCCACGAGCGGCCCGAAAGTGCCAGGGCCCAGGGGCACACAGACAGAGGCACACAAATCTCTCCTCCTCCTCCTCCTCCTCCTGCTCTCCTCACCCTCCTCCTCCTCCTCCTCCTCCTCCTCCTCCTGCTTTCCTCACCCTCTTCCTCCTCCTCCTCCTCCTCCCTCTTCTTCTTCCTCCTCTCCTCCTCCTCCCTCCTCTCCTCCTCTCCTCTCCTCTCTCCTGCTCTCCTCCCCCTCCTCCTCCTCTCCTCCTCCTCTCTCCTCCTCCTCCTCCTCCTCCTCCACGGGCTCCCTGGCCCAGACCCCAGGAGCGGCCCGAAGACCCGAAAATGAAGGGGCCCAGGGACACACAGACAAAGGCACACAAATCGCAAGATGCCCCATCTCTTCGAATAGTTTCTGGATGCTCGCCTCCCCCCTCTTTCCAATACCTGCCCATGTCTTCCGAGGGGTCGACGATGGAATCATGCCTGTGTGCTCTTCCCCCTCCCGAGAAAACCCGAGCCCCCCCCGAGCCTCCAGGGCGGTATACGGGGCAGTTTTTAATACATAGTTTTTTTTCTTTTTTTAGAATGTATGATTTTTGATGCATGATTAATTTATGAAAACATGTATGCATGAGCTCCTCGTTGTTTTTTAAACTAAATCCCTGCGTTTTCATACATACATGATCCGCAAGCGGAGCATGTATTGAAAACGGCACTGTACCTACCTCGGCCTCTTTGCGCCTGCGGGAGGGGGGCCGGGAGCCAGGTTGAAGCCAGGCGTGTCCACGCATACAGGCGGACATGGGGAGAACCATCAAAAGCATACTCAAACATAAGAGCGCGTCTCCTTCTCCTCCTCCTTATTTTCGGCGATGGCGGGCGTCATTGGGGGGGGGCGGGCGGCGGGGGGTGTATGGCGCAACGCCCCCCCCCGCCCCCCGCCGTGGGGCTCCGGCACCACAGCCGCGCCCGCGCGCACGACGACGATGAGCGACGAGCGACGACGACGACGACGACGACGACGACGACGACGACGACGACGACGACGACGACGACGACGACGGGAGCCATGACGCCCATCATTCCCCAAGCAATAAAGAAACACGCTCTAGTCGCAACATCATCGGAAAATCGTACCCAGACTAGTTTTGGACAATTTTTAGAATATTCCTCCTGTAGGGGACGCGCCCGACTTAACCCAGACGATGGGGGAGGGCGGAAGGGTGCGAGGCCGGGGGCGCGAGAAGTACACAAGGGGCAGGGGAGGGAGATCGAAAACAGGGGAACAAGCAATGGCATAAACATAATCATCTGGAGGTCCGCGCTGATCTCTCGGATTGGCGCTGGGCCACCCTCCCTGGCGCGCGGAGCGCGCCAGGGGCGGCGCCGAAGGCGCTGCCAGGGGGCTCCAGCGCAGACCTAAGAAATCGGACTCCGACAGTTTATTTGCATGTCGACGTTTGTTCTTCGGAAGTGTTGGGCGTGTGAGAAGGCCATAGTGTGTGTGTGTGTGTGTGTGTGTGTGTGTGTGTGTGTGTGTGTGTGTGTGTGTGTGTGTGTGTGTGTGTGTGTGTGTGTGTTTGTGTGCGTGTGCGCGTGCGCGTGCGCGTGCGCGTGCGCGTGCGTGCGCGTGCGTGCGTGCGTGCGCCTGCGCCTGCGCGTGTGCGTGTGCGTGTGCGTGTGCGTGTTCGCGCGTTTTGGTGTGTGTGTGTGGCACTGGAAGCGGGCGCTCCCCACGCTCTTCCCCCGACCCCCGGAGCGGGTGCTCGGGCACACGCGAACCGCCCTCTGCGCTCGCTCCCCGCGGGCGTTCGGCCTGCCGGCTGGGCTGCTGCTGGCACGGCGATCTTGGCACGCCAGATGCGCGATTACAGTCGGGGCGTTGACCTAAGGAACCCTAAATAAGGAACGAGGCCCCTTTTTTCCATAAGTTAACCTTCGATTTCCGGACGAAAACATGAAGAAAGCCTGAGGCAAGCTGTGAAACACTTAAGGAACGCGGAGCCCCTTCCCAACGAAAAGGGTTCCTTCTCCAGGGCCCCGACTGTAGGTCGGGCATGTCCTCCTACAGGCGGATTTTGCAAGAAAGGTGAGGAGAAGTCAGACAATGCGCAAAAAGAAACCACACATCGACTCCTGATTTATTCATTTTTCTGGGATTTGTTGAAGATTCCTCCTGTAGACGGACGTGCCCGACTTCCATGCACGGCAGACATGGGGACGCTGACCTTGGGGAGCCCGCTCCAAATCCAACGTGGAAGGTTCGAACAAATCCGTGGGCGCCGCGGGCTCGCCGGGCTTGAGCTCGCTCTCTCTCTCTCTCTCTCTCTCTCTTTCTTTCTCTCTTGACGCACCCTCACCAAGGGCGCCCTCGAGGGCGCGAAGTTACTCGCGCCTCGCGCTTCGGCTCCGATTCCTCCTCAACCTCTTCTTCCCTGGGAGGCGGCGCGAGAGCGCGAAGTTGTTCTGCACCTCCGCTTCGCCGCCGCCTCGAAGGCCAGGCCCCTCGAAGCCGCGACCCCGTGGAGAAGGGGCGCGCGCTCTTTCGCGGAACGCCGCGCGCGGACCGCAGCCGTGCGACCGCGCACCCCACGGGGTCGCGCCCCGTGGGCTCCAGACCGGGAGTGGGTGGACATGGAATCGTACCCTCGCCGCTCGTGGCTTTGGAAATGGGTCCCGAAATGGGTTCCTCCTCCTCCCTCCCTCCTCCTCCCCTCTTCCCCCCTCCTCCTCCTCCTCCTCCCCTCCTCCTCCTCCTCCTCCTCCTCCTCCTCCTCCTCCTCCTGGGTACCATGCCCAACAACAAAGCTTGTCCCAAACCAGCAGCGGCCGCTGTTGGGGAGGCGGCCTTCTGTCTCGGATGGGCACAGGCCGCGGCGGCGCGGACAGCGAGTCCTGTTCAGAATGAACAGGGACTGCTGTTGGGCATTGTACCCATTCTTTCCGTACCCATTGCGGCGTCCAAAGTGGCAGGCGTCGCTTCCTGAGCAGCAGGCTCCAGGCAGCGACGCCCCGAGCGGAGCGGTGCACAGCGCATGCCCATCGAGGCCACGGGGGCATGTGCGCCACGGGGTCGCGGCACGCGCCGTGTGGCCGCGGGGCCGGCCGAGGCCGCACCTGGTCTGCAGGCAGCGCTGGCTCTGTTCGGGGCCCTGAGATCGCGGCGTGCTCCCGCCTCCAGTACAGTCCAGCCAGACGATTGACGCGAACCGTCCCCGTCACTCTCGACGGTACTGCAGGCGCCCGGGGACACAGAAAGAAGTACACACAGATCCCAGGATGCCCCATATCTTTCAACATGTTCTGGAGCCTCGTCTGCATTCCTACATGTTTCCGCACTCTCCTGGGCACCGACGATTCTCTGTGTCTCTGTGTGTTTTCCCCTCTTGAGGTACAAACAATCGATCGTCTCGAACCCGACCGAGGAGCCGTGCATCAGCGATCCACGATCCACGAGCGAGCCCTGGTCGGAAAACAACGGCCTTGTGAGGGGTTCCAGCGCCTCGCCCCTCAGCAGAGCAAGGCCGAATTCGGCAGCGACTGCTGCCGTTGCTGCGAGCGGCTGGGCAGGCAACGCTTGCCGCTCGACTGGCGACGCAATCGCCATCCCGGAACGCCGGCGCCGTGAGCGCTTCGCAGCGTGGCCCCCCAGAGATCTGGAACACTTCCCGGGGACGAGCTCCTCATCGTGAGTCGTCCGCTGACGGTCCCGTGGCCCGGCGAGGGCTCCCGGAGGCCGACAACTGCCACAGCGAAACGAGCACGCCACCGCCATTCTTTTCACCACTAGGGGAGGCACGCCCTGACTCCAGATCCGCCTTACTTTGGCTTTTTTTCCAACTTAAAATTGCGTCGGAAATCCACCTATACGGGGCCGAACAAGTAGGGCGGAAATTGCTGCACCCAACATAAAATAGGGCGGAAATCCACAGAAACAGCAACAGAAAAGTAGGGCGGAAACTGGCATCAGCGGGGCTTGAAAAGTAAGGCGGAAATTTCAAGCCCTACTTACGAATTTTCCCAAAGTAGGGCGGATCCGAAGTCAGGGCGGATTCGAATCGAGCGGGAAGCGCTGTCAGCCGCCGCCCCGATCCGAGCGTCCCCCATCTCGGACGTGCGGGCTCTCTCGAGCACGGCCTGCGTCCCACACAGGGCGCCGTGCGCCCGCCGCCCGCCCTCGCGAGGAGGCACGGGCGCGGCAGCATCTGCGGCCCTCGGAAACCTCCTCCTCCTCCTCCTCCTCCTCCTCCTCCTCCTCCTCCTCCTCCTCCTCAGGAAGCGGCTGTACTTGGTTGGGCGCCTGAGCATGGCCCCTACCGCGGGAGCACCAGCGCTTGTGCCGCTCCAGCCCGCCACACGGCTGAAAAATCTGCGCGCGCTCAGCGTAGCGGGCCCGCGCTTGAAAAGATGCCCTGTGCGCTGACAGGTAGTGCTACTGCAGAAGGTTGCGAACTGTATCAATATATGTCGCGGAAGGACAAAATCGCGCTCGGACAGGGCCAGCGGCTGCGCGGCATCTGTGGCAGGTCACAGCACGCTCAGAGTAAGTACAATGGCGATCAAGCTACAAGTTTCTGGCCGCCCACCCTTCCAACGCAGGGCGTCCCTCACGAGGAACCGATCGATACTGCACGAGAATCATGGCTTTGTTACTTATCGAGGTAGCAGCTCAGCGAAACAACTGACTATGACCTGAGAACACGTGGAATGCGACTTTGTGCTGACAAAGCAGTGCCCCATCTCACTGTTCCTGTCGCGAGTCCAATTGGTTATGCTCCCTGAAAGCCCTGCGCTCGCATTGTTTCACGTGTGTCGTCCACCTGTCAGCACAGACCGCCTTCCCAGAGGACTCCCGTTCTGGCCTCCCCTCTCCTTCCCCAGAAACGGACCAAAGGTAGCCCAGGGTAGCTCTCTGGGCGACCCAAGAGGGGGTCCAGCTGCAAGGGGGTGGTGTAATAGATTTGGGGCAATTGTATTGCAAACGTATTGCGCCGGAGAATTGTATTGCATTGTATTGCAACTAGTGTACTGCACGCGAAAATCCAGCAATACACTTGCGCTCTGGAATGTATTGCACGCCCCAAATGCATTGCAACCCCACAAAACTATTGCACCAAATCTATTGCACCCCCTCCTTGTCGCTGGACCCCCTTTTGGGTCAACCCGACGCGCGGCCTTCCATGGGCCTGCCCTGGGGCAGAAGGGGCAGGGCCGGGGTGGGCCAAGGGCAGGGGCCCGGGGGCATGCCGAGGGCAGGCCTCGGCAGTAGACTCATCATGATCGACCCCCTCCTCCTCCACCTCCTCCTCCTCCTCCTCCCTCCTTCTCCCCCTCCTCCCCCTCCTTCTTCTTCCCGCAGCCCTTGGGGACCAATGTCTGAGGTGTCCACACATGCATACGTCAGCGGTGAGATAGGCGGCAAGTATAGCGGTGGACGAGGAGAGCAGCAATGGCCAGCATCAACCCGACTCGCAATACAAATCGAGCGGGGCATATAGATGGGCAACTGACGCCTCCAGCCATGCATCCCCAGGAGGCGTGGGGGCACAGCGTTGTGAGGCTGCCTGCGTGATAACAGCAGCTGCGTAGAATTCGATCTGGCTGCTGTCAGGAGGGGCCATGATCGGCATGGCATTCATGCACAGGCACTGACGGTCCCCCATGGGCACACATCTCGACGTGACGGTCGGAGACGTATCTTGCAGGGAGCACAGGAACCTGACCTCGGGGACCTTCCACATGCAGGGCAGGTTGGCTTGCGGAGCAGGTGGGTTTAAAATGAGCAAAGCCGCCAGGCCCGAGGACGCCGCACACAGCGCAAGCGTCAGTGCCGCCCTCAAGCACGCACTGTCGAGCTCCAGCTGCTTCCACTCCGAGGGCGACCTGGCAGAAATTCCCCATGGCTCATCGCAGCTCCTTAAAGGCCTGCACTCACCGCCCTTGACTTTGCAGCGGGGGGTGGGGTCCCACGAGGAAAGGAGGAAATCCGCCACGAGACCAATGACACGCCCAGCAAGAATAATATCAGTAATGAACAATAGCTCCTTATGGGATCCCTCAGTGGAGTCCTGGAAAAGCTCGAGAATATTAAGAGACAAAACAAACACATTCATGCCCGCCATGGCACTGGACTTCTCCGCTCTGTCCTGGATGTCACCTTGACTCCTGGGAACTGCACGGAGGATCACAATGTATTTAGTACCAGGGGCCACAGGCATGTGGACCTCTGCCTGCGTGGGCATCTCTTCCTGGATGCATGCTGGTTGGCACGAAATTCTCGGCATGCAAGTGGGAAGGCCCTTGGAGGCAGCCGCTCCCCTCAGCCTAGGTCCCGTCGTGAGGACAGGCGGGAGCTGCGCAGACTCCGCGTAGTGGCCTTTCTCTCGGAGCGTGCGTGCTAACTCCGCGTCCTCCGCCTTAGCCGCCATCACCTGTTCGGGGCTCAGCGGTGTGATGACGGCCATAAGGTCCGCCAGGCACTTCGATGAGCCATGCCGAACGTGTTTAAGCAATCTAAGATGCGTGTGGAAGTTGAGACCGCAAGCCATGCACACAGTGCCTGAAACGTAGCCGGGGGCGGGGTCTAGATGGGGGTGGCGCTTCGAGCGATGGGAGGCCCATGCGCCCTTGGTGGCCAACGCCGCCCCACCGTCCAAGCAGGGATACAAGGCGAGAACCGACGGCGGTCGCAGAAACGACGGGAGCGCAAGACCCTTGGCGATGCAACACTTTCGCCACCCGTCTTTGAATTCTTCGTGGCGCTGATCGTCAAAAAATTTGGCCCTGGCAGCCGATTCTGCCTGCTTGCAAATTCGCTTCCAAAACTTGTTGCTGCTAGACCTCAGGAGCCACAACCACCGAGCAGGGGGCCCAGACGGTAAGAATGCCCTGTCCAGATTCACATGTCTGCTGAGCCACATCAGGTCATCGCAACACAATGCGGACCATGATTCAGGCACTGAGGCTAACTCGTCCAGGATCGCCAGCAGACACGCAGGCGCCGATTTGAGAAGCCTGGGAAGAAATCGCAGCCGCCTGAGCCTCAGTACCAGCTCGACGGGCATGATCTCACATTTGACCAAAACTCTATGGTCTGCAGCAACCTTACCAGAGCCAGAATCGTACCCAAGCCCAGCCGCCAATCTAAACGGGCTCAAATAGTTGTGCGCCAGGGTCGCCATCTGTTTCACGTTTAACTTGTGCCAGGTGAGGGCATTCAACAAAAGGTGCGACGTGCACAAAGACGTAACAAAAATTAGCTTGGCCCTTAAATTGACTTGCTTCCTGGGGAAAACAGTGCGCCTCAGCACCCCTAGGGGACGTCGCTGCTGATGACAACGGTGCGCCAGCTCAGGTCCCAGAGAAATGTGATGGTCCTGGTAACTTCCCAAGTGTTTGTAGGTTCTAGTGAGGCACAGGGAGACGCCTAAGGAAGGGACGAGAAGACCAGTGGCAGCCAAGGCTGCACACTCCCCTCGTGCCTTCCTGGAACCAGTGCCGCTGAAGAAGGCCATGAGCTCCGTCTCGCCCGCCTTCCAGTTCATGGTGAACCCCCTAGACTTGGTTTCTTCGTTCATGATCGTGACGAGGGCGATGGCCGCCTCCTTCCAGAGCCTAGCGTCTAACAGCTCGATGCCGTTGACGAGGTCATCCATGAAGGCAGGATCCCATACGTCTTCCTCTACATGCTCGTGTTCGCGACCTCTGAAAATCCTCTGAGACGGGACCACATCCTTAGTCCTCTGAAGATACCCCAGGGATCCTAATCTACTGTTGGCCGCGATGATGATTGGGTCGAAGGCTATGATGAACAGGAGGTCTGCTAGTGGCATGCCTGGCCTCGTACCTAGGCGAAGGAAGACGACCCTGGTACTCCCTCGCACTTGGAGCCAATTGCATTCCATCACGTCCACCACTGCTTCCAGAAGGTGCTTACTTCCCAGTCCGTCCAGGGCTCCAGGCTTGGCGACTAGGGCATGGCACAGAGGCTCCAGACAACTAGGTATCTCCAAGCCCGCCAGCGTGTTCTGGATGTCCTCACTGCTCTGGGCCATTCTGGCAACGAACCCTCGGATGACCGAATAGAATGCCGCCTTTAGATCGGTGTACAACGACAGGTATGTGCGCTTCCTAGCCTTGGCAGCCATCATGGCCGACCGAAGATGCAAGGATGCAATGTCAGTGCCGCGCTGAGGGAGAGCTCCCTGCTGGACCACCGACAGCATGTTCATCGTTGCCTCTAGAAGTTTACTCCTGAGGAAGGCATGGTGCAACTTCGCCGCGTGGCATCCCAGCAGGATGCCTCTGTAGTGCTCCAGGGGTTCGGGGGGCCCAGATTTGTGTAGATCACATTGCCAGCCTCCTTTGAACAGCAGGGGCCCCCTTGACGCCATGTCAACTTTCACGAACAACGGCAACAATATCTGCGTGCATTCTTGCGGAGCGACCTGGAAAAGATCATTGCTGAGCCCGTCAGGCCCAGCACCTCTCCTCTTGGCTGCCTTCATGATGTCACGCTTGAGCCTGCGGAAGGGGGCGATCATGTCCAACTCCCTGGGGTATACATTTCCACGCTCAGGGAGGGCGTTGTATCTCTCAACCAGTTCTTCCCAGCTGAGTGCCTGCCCATTCTCAACTACAGCGAAATAATCAGTGAGGGCCTCCGAGAGATCTCCAGATGTGGCCAGCACCTCGCCCTGAGAACCTCGTCGGATTCTAAGCCCCTCGACCTGGAACTTGGAGCGCTTTCCCCCGAACCTTTGCAGCTGGTATAGCACTCTCCACTCCACTCTACTCTCGTTTGAGGACCTAGCGTTGCACAACTGCTGCGCGAGGTCGTCTAGCAGCTTGTTGCGCGAGAGCTTCAAGGCCCTTCTCAGGGCCGGCTTCGACTTGACCAGAAACTCAAGCATGTGTGCGGCTAGCTCGCTTGCCGCCAGGATCTGTTTATCCCACTCAGCGAAAGCCTGGAAAAGCTCCGAAACCAGAAGGTCCAGCTCGAGATCGGCGATGTTCTGGGGCCCCCGCCTCCAGCGCCGCGGCGACCAGCCTCCTGACCCCACCAGCGTCCTGCTTGCCCCAGAGACGCCACGCCTGCCGTACTTGCCTTCTGAAGATGATAATGCCCAGAAGAGCCTCTGAAACATATGGCTTGATCGGAGTACGCGCGGGTTTAGGGAAGCATGCTTGTGCACCCACGTACATGTATTGAATGATGTCGT